AATAGGTGGCCAAAGTATTTGAGTTTCATCTTCAGTATCTGGCCTTCTAAAGAGCAGTCAGGGTTGATCTCCTCTAGGACTGACAGTCCAAGGGACTCGCAGGAGTCTTCTCCAGCACCACAATTCAAAGGCCTCAATCCTTTGGCGCTCAGCCTTCCTTAAGGTCCAGTTTTCACAGCCGTACATTGCAACTGGGAAAACCGTAGCCTTGACTATACACACTTTTGTTGGCAGGGTGATGTCTCTGCTTTTTAGTATGCTGTCTAGATTTGCCATAGCTTTCCTCCCCAGGAGCAAGCATCTTTTACTTTCTTGGCTGCAGTCCCCATCTGTGGTGATCTTGGAGCCCAGGAAGATAAAATCTGTCACTACCTCCATTTCTTCCCCATCTATGGACTGGATGCCATAATCTTTTGTTTTCTTAATGTTGAGTTTCAAGCCAACTTTTGCACTCTCCTCCTTCACCTGCATCAAGAGGCTCTTCCGTTCCTCTTCACTTTCTGCCATGAGAGTGGTATCATCTGCATATCTGAGGTTGTTGATATTTCCCCGGGAAATTTTAATTCCAACTTGTGATTCATCTAGCCTGGCCTTTGGCATGATGTGCTCTCCAGATAAGTTAAACAGGCAGGGCGACAATATACAGCCTTGCCGTATTCCTTTCTCAATTTTGAACCAGTCACTGGTTCCGTGCCCAGTTCTCACTATTGCTTCTTGACCTGCATATAGGTTTCTCAAGAGAACAAATAGGAAGTTCAGGTACTCCCATCTCTTTAAGAACTTGCCACAACTTGTTGTGATCCATACAATCAAAGGCTTTAGCATAGTCAATGAAGCAGAAGTAGATGTTTTTCTGGAACTCCCCAGTTTTCTCTGTGATCCAGCATATGTTGGCAATTTGATCTCTAGTTCCTCTGCCTCTTCGAAATCTTGCCTGCACTTCTGGTAGATCTCGGTCCACATACTGCTGGAGCCTAGCTTGTAGGATTTTGAGCTTAATTTTGCTGGCATGTGAAATGAGTGCAGTGGTGCGGTTGTTTGAAGATTCTTTGGCATTGGCCTTCTTTGGATTTGGAATGTAAACTGACCTTTTCCAATCCTGTGGCCACTGTTGAGTTTTCCAAATTTGCTGGCATATCGAGTGTAGCACTTTTACTACATTGTCTTTTAGGATTTTTAATAGCTCAGCTGGAATACCATTGCCTCCACTAGCTTTGTTGTTGCTCAGACTTCCTAAGGCCCATTGGACTTCACATTCCAGGATGTCTGACTCGAGGCCAGTGACCACCCCATCATGGTTATCAGGGAAGTTAAGCTCTTTCTTGTATAGTTCCTCTGTGTAATCTTGGCACCTCTTCTTAATCTCTTCTGCCTCTGTTAGGTCCCTGCCATTTTGGTCCTTTATCATACCCATCTTTGCATGAAACGTTCCCTTCATATCTCCAACTTTCTTGAAGAGATCTCTGGTCCTCCCTATTCTATTGTTTTCTTCTATTTCATGGGTCCTCAAACTACAGCCCGTGGGACTGATTCGGCCCGCCATGCCCATTTTTCCAGCCCCCGTCCAGGCAGGGAGGCGGTGGCTTGTTCATTCGGAAATGTTTTTGGACTCGCTGGGAGATCTCCAAGCGAGCGAGCTGCTGTGTGCACCCAATGATACCTCACCAGTCCACACGCCCAGGCGCCCCCATCTCACTGGCTCGCACTGGTTGGCGCCACCTTTCAACTGGCCCCCTTTTGAAAAAGTTTGAGGAGCCCTGTTCTTTTTCTTTGCACTGTTAATTTAAGAAGGCCTTCTTATCTCTTCTAGCTATTCTCTGGAATTCTGCATTCAACTGGGGGCATCTTTCTCTCTCTCCCTTGCCTTTTGGTTCCCTTCTTTCCTCAGCTATTTGTAAAGCTTCCTCAGACAGCCATTTTGCTTTCTTGCAGTTCTTATCTTTGGGATAGTTGCTACTTCTTGTACAAGGTCGCAAACCTTCATCCATAGTTCTTCAGGCACTCTGTCTATCAGATCTATTTCCTTAAATCTATTTGTGACCTCTACTGTATATTCATCAGAAATATAATTTAGGTCATA